CTTTCACAGCCAACAATGTCGGGTGTATCTCTTTGAGGCAGTCCGAAAGTCTTTTTCCATGGCCTCTCTGAACTCCTGCCACACCTGAGTTTTTGATTCAACCTCAGCTGTGCTCCGCTTGGCCGGTTGGTACCTATTGGCTGCCTCCAAAGTCCCATAGGCTAACCAAGCTCAATAGGATTCCTTCACCTCTGGTGTCCATCATTTGGTTCAGGGGTGACACCAACCCCAGGCACCAACCGCCTCTGGTGTCCACCATATGGTTCAGGGTTTAGCACCACCTCAGGCACCAACCACCTTGTGCTACGTCTGTCCAGCATCCTCCCCCGCCACCACGTCAGGTGGCAGGATGTTGATGGACTGTGCTGTCAACTGAGGTGGTAATCAGTTGACAGCTCAGCGCCCCTCTTCACCCGAGTGTTTAGAACATATGGCTGCAGATGTGATGATACAATTACACACACTGGTGCCACCTGAACTTATGGATACCCTTATGTTCGAACATGGTGTTTGTTATGGAAAAACTGTGGTTTGCATAGAAGTCCAGTAGGAGAAGAGGTTTAGATCTGCCAGGCCATTCCTCCCAGTCACGCCCCTGCAAGTCTCACTGTCATTACCCACATGACCATTGAAATCTCCCAGTAGGACAACAGAGTCCCCAGGTTGAGCAACCTCAAGCACCCCACCCAGGGACTCCAAGAAGGCTGGGTACTGTGAACTGTCATTCGGCGCATAAGCGCAGATGACAGTCAGAGCCCATTCCACGACCCGAGCAGGGAAAAGACCCTCTCGCCTACCGGGTGAAACCCCAACGTACAGACAGCAAGCTGAGGAGATACTAAGATACCCACCCCGGTCCGCTGCCTCTCACCAAGGCCAACTCTCCAGGAGACTGGTTCCAGTGTCCAACCCATGCGTTGAGGTGAGGTGAGACTATATTTAGCCGGTAGCTCTCAACCTCAGGCAGGGTGAACTATTCCCTCGATCTTCTGCTCATAGGGGTTTTTTTGTCTGGTCTCTCACCCATGACCAAAAGACCCCGGACACACAAACCCCTCCACCACGTTAAGGTAGCAATTCAAATTTGTTTTTACATTCCAGAAAAAAACTAATTTCTAATTTGATTCTGTCTTGCCACTTCCTGTCATTGCAACCCTGTTCTCCACCACCTAAGAATGTCTGTCTTACTACCACTACGTGAGAAGCTTCCATGTTAAATATAGTGGTGTGAAAAAGTGTTTGCCCCCTTTTTGATTTCCCCCTTTTTTGTATGTTTATCGCACTAAATGTTTTGGATAAAACCAATTTAAATATTAGACAAAGGTAACACGAGTAAACACAAAATGCAGTTTCTAAATGAAGGTATTTATTATTAAGGGGGGGAAAAAATCCAAACCTGCATGTGAAGTAGTGACATGCTGGCTCCTTTTGCTGTGCTTCTGGTCTCCCTTGATACTCACCTTGTGTTTCTTCTTGCATTCTTGTATTGCTCTTGCAGTTTTTCACTTGAAAACCTCACTTAGAACTTGTCTGTTTGGAACGTCACTTACATGTAGCCTTTGGATGCCTCCTTTAACTCAGCTACCTGCTGCAGCAAGAACATTCACTTGCCTGTTCATAACCTGCCTACCCACTCTCCACCTGTTCAGCTGTCTGGAACTCTCTTGCTGACTGTGTACTTTCTCCATGCTCAGCTGACCTCTCATTAAGTAAGACAAAATCAGGTTAATCTACAACTAAACACTACAATACCTACCTGTTGGATGTTTTTTCCTTATTTTTGCTATGTTTTTGCACATTTTCTATACTTTTAACACACTTACTTCAGATTATCAAATTATTTTTAATATTAGACAAGAAATAAATAAACTGTTTTCAAGCATGATTGCATTATTAAGGGAAAATAGCTATCCAAACCTGGCTCAATGTATGAAAGTAATTGCCCCCTAAAAATAGCAATTTGTTGCGCACCCTTTGGTAACGAATGCCGAGAATGCCAACGAAGCATTGGTAATAACTGGCAATGATTTTTGTTTTTTTACATGGCTGTGGAGAAAATTTGGCCCCCTCTTATTGTTTTGTCTTTTTGGTTAATTTGACCACATTCAAGGATTTTTGACTGTTAACTGTCATGACACCAAGTTTGCGATGACTCACTGGCAGGACGCAGACCAATCAGAGTTTATTAAACAAGTTTGGAATCAAGGTAGAAAACAAATGAGTAGATTGAATGGAGGCTAGTGAGCAGGGCTGAGGCAGGCTGGATCACAGGGACTCACTACACACACACAGTAGCTTGGAAGGCCTCCTTTACGCTAAGCAGCCTGCACAGAAGCACAAAGAAATAATCCAGGAAAGACCAAACATGAAATTGACAGCAAAGCTACTGAACCTGAGATGTTTCCACAGGTGAAGCAATGACCTGGTGGCAACTGAGGAAAACCTTCAGCCTTAAGCAGACTAAAGAATTCATAGATTACACATGAGCAAGGTGAGTAAATCGGCCTAATCAGTAAATCAATCCTGCCTCATCAGGAGAGTGGAGGACCACAATGACGGAGCCGCCTTCTGAAAACAAGCCATTAAGAAACCAAAACACACTCATACGGACAGAGAGTGAGAGAAAAGCTAGAAAAAGGGCAAGCCAACACGGGAGGACTAGAGGACCGTGACATGAATCTCAAACCAATTTTAATCGGGACTTTAACTAGACTGCTCCATAAACTCAATCTGTTTTAAAGGAGTCCAGAGCTAGACTTGCTGATGTATTTTGGATCCTTATCCGTGTGTTCAGGGTCGCCCAGGTCCTGAAGCAGCACGTTAGCCCAAGGCCATCACCCTAGCACTACCATGGCTAACTGTATGTATGATGTTCTTATGAAATGTGTTAGTTTTATGCCAAATGTAAGTTCAACTTTTTCTCATCAGTAGTTTTGGTAGTCCAGCCGCTCCTGGGAAATTACTGTTCCAAGTTTTCTCTTTTTGCACTTTTCATGCAAATAAAGAAAAATGGCACCACTAAGGGAGAACACAGCCACCCTACAGAGGAAGCTCAAATCCGCTGTTTGTATCTGCGATCTCCTGCTTTCCATCACCAACCAAAGCTCGTGACAATAGGTGAACATGGTACATCTGAAACGTTATCGTTGTTTAAAAAATACTTGTGTTATCACTCACAGTGTAACGTCTTGGCACTCTCCTGTGGATGCTGGAGAGTCTGGATGTTTTTTGTAGTGAGTTTCTCATCCAAGGTTGACAGATCACGTGTGCCTTGTCCTCCACCTGTATTCTTTTTTTCTTGTAGTCTGTTAGTATTTTTCACTTTATCAACTTCGATTCCAAACTGACACGTGTTGAAATTATATTCACGTCCACATCACTTTGTATTTATTTATTTAGACTGTCATTTTTGGAAAGCTGTGCCTCTTCTGGCTTCCTCCTTGGGCCTCAGACACAGACTACAGTCAGACTTTAACATTATTTTTTGCTGTCGAGGTGCAGGCTTCTGCCTTTTCCTGTCTCCACCGGGAGGTAAATGTATCTCCTTATACAGAGAAACTGGGGTCGGGCAGTATGCAGATAATATGGAAACTGTTTGCACAAGACTGTTGCCTCAGAATAACTCCGATTTACTAACATTATTACTAACTTGCATGTGGTGGTGAACAAGATAGGCCGTACACACGTTTCGTAAATCTGACTGTGATTTTGCAAACTAATTTTTTCACAGGGTAAGTTTGATAAAACTTGGCTGAAACGGGATCAAACAGTAGGATTGAAAGCAGACATGCGAGTTATTCAAAAGAATTAAGGTGTTGCAATGCCCTGTCAAAGGCAATGACTCAGCCTGACTGAAATGCTCAAAAACCATAATAAACTGAAACAATGTCTCAAACAAGAGGGAGGAAGTTTTTTCCATAAGAGCTCAGGATTGTGGAGTCACGATTGCAATGCAAGCCCACACTTATAAAGAAACAGACATAGAGGTTACTTTGCGGTTTGAAATGAACAATGGTGAGTTGCTCAGTTCTAAAATGAAACAGTCATGCATAAAACTGGAGAAAAGCCCCTTTGGGAATGTGGTGAGATTTTTGTCCTTTCCAGCTTGGAAGCAGCAACAAGGAGATGAGATTGTGCAGCCAACAATGCATGTCTTGGATAAAAGTTAGAGGAAGAAGCAAAAACATCACTTTCAATCACATTTTGAAAAATCTGTTGTGTGACCGCAGCGGTTTTACTGGTATGCCACCATTACAGCAGATTTAACCATTAAGGTTACATGTTATATGGGTGTTGCTGTGTTACAGAGCTTAGATGTGGGAGTTATCTTGACTGTAGCTTGTGGCAGCATAGATAGAATGACAGAAAATATTTAGATGTGTTTGTTTGTTTCTTTTTTAAACAGTTTATGAACTATGACAGTGTGATCCTGACCGTTACACTTCTGGCACACATCGAACTGTTGCATGGTTAGAGGCTGCATCGCTAATGCAAAAATGTCTTTATGTTTTCAGAAACCAGCTTATGAAATGCAGCAGTGTGATTGTGAATGGGTACACAGACATTAGAACATTACTTAAATTGTATTTATATAGCACCAAATCATATCAACAGGGCACTTTCTACTGTAAGGTAAAGACCCCACAATAATACAGACAGTCAGCAAGCACTTGGCAACAGTGGGAAGGAAAACTCCCCTTTGACAGGAAGAAATCTCTGGCAGAACCAGACTGGCTGGAGGAAGACGAGACAAAAAAGAGAGCAGCAGATTAAGAAGAGAGATTAATAATAAGTAATGAGTAAATGCAGAGTACCCACATATTGAGTAAAAAAAGTTCCCACTTTTTTAAAGCATAGTCACAACCGGATCACTGGAATACTCTGGAAGAGTATGGAAAGTATAAACATTTCATATTTAGTCGATGTAACATGGTAAAAACAGTGAAAGCGTCGATCTGCAGCTTAGTGCAGCCGCTACGCACGAAGCTGCGGGGGAGAGGAAGGAGGAGGAGGAGACAGCGATTGCTCTATTTCTGACGTCAGAATCTTGCCGCAGAGATAAGCCGCGAGGCTTAATATTAACTACAATGTTCCTTCTTTCAAAAAGAGCGACAGCGCGCCAAGGGATTGTCGAGCTGATGAACAGAGACGCTTTGCGAGACGCATTCCAAACACTTTTCTCGTTCTGCGCACCGACTCTGGCGCAGTGCACGAAACAGAGCCCAAACTATGAGCTGAGCAGATAAGAGCTGTGGTGGAGGAATTGGCCAGCGGTCGTGTAAACGCACAAACGGAAGATGGGAACGGCGGGCGAGGATCTGCTCGTGACACTCCAGATACTACCCGGTTTCTTTTCCAACTGCCTCTTCCTTGCCCTGTACGACTCGGTGGTTCTGCTGAAGCGCGTCGTTTCGCTGCTCAGCTCTCGGTCCGCCGGCTGCGGAGAGTGGCGCCGCATGCTGACCTCGGCGGGACTGCGCTCCATCTGGAACAGCTTCCTCCTGGACGCCTACAAGCAGGTAAACTTTTTATTTGGGTAGGGTCTAAGTGCTTCGAGTGCCTCGATGCAGTGACGTCATTCAAGTGCAGTCCAAAGTGGTGTAAAAGACACGAAGTGTTTCTTAGCGTCTGCTCGCTCACCTGCCTACACGGCCGTGTGCACGAACGTTTGCGGCACGCCCTCGGAAAACTTGGTTTTTCATTGTCTTCGCGCAGATGGAGCAGAACTTGTTTTTCGCGTTTGGAGCTGTGCGTGTGTGTGCGTGCGCGTGGAACAATACAGTTTGCACAAAGGGCTGGCCATAACAAGAAGCGTTACAGAATCGCGTGACCAAATAGTTAATGTTTTATCACTACAATACTGTGTAACACGAGTATTATCAGAGCAAATACAGGTTATCACGTTAATCGCGTTGGATAGAAACTGGTTGCAGTTCATGTGGAGGTGCAGCAGGTGGCCCCCGTCCTCACAGCTGTGTAACTTTCTGCTGTCAGGAGGCTGCTGCTGCAAATTCGCTGCTAATGTTTCAAAAAGCTGATTTTGTTACGTCCTGGTGATACTGTGGCGTTTATACTACAGAGATATGTGGATACATCACAACCTGCAAAATGAAACAACATCTGTCGTTCAGCTGCTTTGATCAGACAAAATTACCAGAAGACAAATATTTTACCCACAAATTGTGTTTTTGTTTTGTTGTTTGTTTGTTTTTTTGGGGGGACTCCATAGTGCCCAGTGTCTCACCAGTGCCTCCTGTGGAACGAGAAACCGCAGAGTGGGAGTCTTTGATTATATAAGAAGTTCTCTGCATATTAATTTATATTACAGTTATTAATAAGCTCACACTATAACAACAGCTCTTGTCTAAAACTGGTTTAGCAAAAAAGTTCTGCTGGAAAATCATTAGTTATTGTATTAACTATTCGTATATGTCTATATGTCTATACACAAGTGTGTGTGTGTGATAGCCAGACTATAGTGTGTGTCCCTTGGCTTTGTGCCTTGGACCCACTCTTTTAGCACAACAGCCTGGGCCTGTGGGTATGTAGGGGCCCCTTCTCATGTTAGCACACATCAAAAAAACGTTGTATCTGAAATGAACTGTACACTTTTCAAAGTGTACAACTTATTGTGCTATTGTAATGTAAAGTATGACAGAGGCTTAGCGAGGACCCAGGTTCCTCTATGCGTCCACTGTGCTATTAGTTAAAAAAGAAGCCACTGACAAATCTCTGGGGATTAACATGTTCTGTTAAGCCTCCGCACAGCTGTGGCACATCCAGGTACCACGGCTGTGTGCAGTTTTCCTTTCAGGCCTTCGTTTACGATTACGCAGTCTACGCCTGACTGGCATCTGTCAGCGTTTCTGTGAACTGTAAAATGTTCAGGAATCTCCTTTAAATCTTACGAATAAGGAATTAATAAAACGTACATGTGAATACTGCACAGCACGACAGCTCCAGCCTGAACGTCATGATTGAGGAGTTCCTATTGGCAGTATTCATTCTGGGAAATATGTCACAAGAGATTAACTTTGAGTCTGTCTCCGTACCCACATTTTCCATCTTGTAACTGCCAAAGGCCCACTATAAGACCTCGAAGCCTGTTTTACCTCCAAGCAGTTCTTGGCAGATATGCTGCATGGTTCGTTCCTGCAGTAAAGACAAAAAAAGTACTTTTCCTGTGCCAAAGCAAGAACCCAGTACGTAAACATCACAGTCTGTCTATCTGTCTGCCTACATGTTTCTTTCAATATTATTACGTAAAAACTGACAGGCCAAACTTGGAGAGAATGTGGTGTGCAGCACGCAGGGATCGGGGTCGGCATAGTGCACGTGGTCCAAGGAGCTCTTCAGAGAAGCTTCCTCGGATGAGAGGTGAAACGTCTTCAAGCAACTTAAAGAAGTCCACATATGTATTTTAGCTTGATGACAGTATAACAAACTGCTTAGTAGGGCTGCACGATTTTGCATAAAATGAGAATCACGATTTTTTTTGCTTAGAATTGAGATCACGATTCTCTCACGATTTTCTTTTCCAGTATAAATATTTATTGCACTTATTAACTGCACATCAACTGCGTAACAGTTGAGACTGAACATAAAACCAATTCCGTCTCCACCGTTGCTCGACGCTGCGTGTACAGAGCAGGTAGTGCAACAATAGAAAATATTGCGGGACGGCACTGTGTAGCGTTTGTCTAGGGTGTTGATCATTTTCCTAAATCCCTCGTTTTGCACAGTGTTGATGGAGCCATATCTTTGGTCAGGTGATAAGTGATAGCCTCCGTAATTTCTTTGTGCCTGCGGGAGTTCGACGGGTATAGGGAAGCGCTGTATAAGGTTCCCGTTATTGATGTTTGGGTGGTTGACCGGGACGGATTTTCTCCTGTCACTTTCTTCGTCATCCCTGACGTGCTCTCCGTTGTTTTTTCCCTGCTAATTTTAGCATCACACGGCACAGCTTCTGTATCACGTGGTATAAGGCTCCGCCCTTGTCATTTGTTGAGCAGGAAGAGTGAGCGCTTGTTTTCATGCAGTACGTCCCGGATCAAAATGCGGTACAATCGTCATCTATTAATTTCTAGTATCAGCTGATGTTTGCTGGAGCCACAGCTGTAAAGCTGCTGGTCATGATATCGGTTTGGTTATCTGGTGAGAGGGAAACATGAAGATGAAACCAGGAGATGTCCTTACTGGATCATCAGAGCTGAACAGGTGATGGAGAAACAGGTTTACCTTTTAGGTGACATGAATGAGTTGAAGGGAAGTTATGAACTGTTTCTGAGAGACAAATAACACCAGGATCCTTTTCTAAGTAGCTGACAGCTGGTAACTGTGCAGGGGCGGGTCTAGCAAAGTGTTGCCAGGGGGCAGGTAGGGCATTAACAGGGAGAGGGGGGCACAAAGAAATACTTTTCTTTCTTATTCTCATTTAAAATGTCTCGCTTTTAAAAAATAATTATCTGAATCTTACAACAAACGATTGATAGATTGATGCATATATACCATCAGAACAGTGAACATCACTGTCACAACAGTGTTTATTTTCATTCAAAGGCTTTATGATTTTTCCTATAATGGTGGGCCGGTCTCTAGTCAAAATGCCTGGGACGATTTTTTTGTCCCAGTCCAGCCCTGTATGCAGCTCATCTGCAGTCTGGTGTTGCCTACATCTTCCTATTCAGAAGGCAGAATTTCCGAGTTCTGAGTACAATCGAAAGCACCACGACTGCAGTTTTTGTGTTGGATGTAAAAGGCGCACATGACGCTGTGACGTAGGCTAGAATCATGGCAGCAGTCAATGACGGTCCAGGCGTGGGATTTCTCTCGTGGAAATATGCACATTATCTTTTCCTTTCTATTGGTAGGTGGCACAGTGCACTGTGGCAAGTAAGCAAGCTAGAAGACTGCAAAGTTATGGAAGCAACACATTAACAAGAGAATTCTGAGTAAAACCAAAGTTACTTTCCCTAGTAACTAGTTACTTTGAAAGTAACGAGTAACTTGAAGTAACTGAGTTACTTTTGAGAGAAGTAACTAGTAATGTAACTAAGTTACTATTTTAAAGTAACTTACCCAACACTGGACATACTGGATTCATTTTGAGAAAAGTGTTCTGTGTAATACTTTTTTTGAGTTACAACCCCAACACTGGTCACAACAAAGTGGGGAAATGAGCTCACAGCAGGCGATTAATCTGCCCGAACCACCTCAGCTGGCTCCTTTCGATGTGGAGCAGCAGCGGCTCTACTCTGAGCCCCTCCCGGATGGCCGAACTTCTCACCCTATCTCTAAGGGAGAGGCCAGCCACCCTTCGGAGGAAGCTCATTTCTGCCGCTTGTATTTGCGATCTCGTTCTTTCGGTCACTACCCACAGCTCGAGACCATAGGTGAGGGTCGACCAGTAAATTGAGAGCTTCGCTTTTACACTCAGCTCTCTCTTCACCACAGCAGAGGTGCAGCGTCCGCATCACTGCAGCCGCTGCACCAATCCGTCTGTCAATCTCCGGCTCCCTTCTCCCATCACTCACGAACAAGACCCCGAGATACTTAAACTCCTCCACTTGGGCCGGGAACTCGTCCCGACCCGGAGTGGGCACTCCACATTTTTCTTTTTTTTTTGTATATTAGCTTATTTAGTTGTATTTACTCAAAATTACTTCTGTAATTTTCTTTCTTACAGGCCAGTGGGTGCAAAGTCGACTCTTTGACTTGTTTAAAATCACAGCCTCCTATTTTCAATACCAATGCAGAAATGCCTAATCTCGCACTCGTGTATATATCTATATATATATATGGAGATATATATATATATATATATATATATATATATATATATATTATATATATGTATATTGTGTGTGTGTGTGTGTGTGTGTGTGGTGTGTGTGTGTTGTGACATATTATAACAATACTGTCAAATCTAAATCAACCCCATACTGAAATTCCAGCACAATGCCAGATGCTTTGCAATAGCTACAGTTAAACTACACCAGGCCCAATATGCCGAAAAAAGCAGAAATGCAAATCCCAGTTCTCCTTCTTCTTCTTCATGTGCACACAGTCTACATTAAGTGTTTGTCTCTATTTTACCTCTTTAGGTGAAACTTGGCTGTGAGGCACCCAATTCCAAAGTGGTGAAGGTGCCTGATGGCCCTCGGTGGAGCAGCACCATCAGAATCCAAAATGGGGGTGAGTGCAGACTTCTGGATTTTGAGTCATCAGATCGCCCCCTGGTGGTCAACTTTGGCTCAGCCACCTGACCCCCCTTCATCAGCCACCTGCCGGCTTTCCGGCAGTTAGTGGAAGACTTCAGCGATGTGGCTGATTTCCTGTTAGTGTACATTGATGAGGCTCATCCATCTGATGGCTGGGTGGCCCCTCCCATGGGTTCTTGCTCCTTCAGTTTCCGGAAACACCAGAACCTGGAGGAAAGGATGGGAGCAGCACGTCAACTCACTGAGCACTTTTCTTTGCCGCCGCAGTGTCAACTAGTTGCTGACTGCATGGACAATAATGCTAATGTGGCTTACGGTGTGTCCAACGAACGGGTGTGTATAGTGCAACAAAAAAAGATTGCCTACCTGGGGGGCAAAGGGCCATTTTTTTACAATCTGAAGGATGTGCGCCAGTGGCTGGAACAGAGTTATGGTAGACGGTAGGAGGATTAAAAGTGCCTTTTTAAATTTTTGAAAACAGAGATTATTTGGTTTTGTAAGAATGTGTTGTGATGGTATTTTTACCATAAAGCTGTAACGAAGGGTCCCTTTTACCAAAAAAGGGGGGAAAAGGGCAAAGGCAAGAGACAACTCAACCAGCATCTTAATCAAGTCAACCTCACCCTCCTCACCTCAAGCCTTACCTCCTGAACTAAAGTCAAGTCTTTTCCATACAAATATTGTGCATAAACGTGCGTGTTTATTTCAGATTTTGTCCGAATTACTTACTGTCAGCAGATCAGATATGCGACCCTCCCGTCCCCAGACAGCTGACAAGAGCAGTGAAACAACAACAGCAGTAGCTGGGATGATGTTATTCCAGCTACACACAGTTTTAGTATTTCTTAGTTTGGTAAAAATGTTATTACATCTCACCTGATGAATGTGTTATTGAGACTGAATCTCTAGAAGACTGCGAGTCAACTGCTTTCAAAACCTTGAGATAACAGCCACATTAAATCTAGTAAATCTAATTTGATAATGAGCACTGAACGCAATCCAAAATACGACGTGTAGGCACAGTGAATAAGTACATACACAGATTATTGTTCGAAGCATCGGATCACGACTGCACATGTACTTTGCATGTAGACACAGACTGAAGGGAGCCTTGTAAAAATCACATTTATAGTTGATTTGCATGGTTTGCAAAGGAAGAAGCACTTTTGTTGACTTTATGACCAGATCTTTTTCCAGGAGGTTCCGTGGGCTGGACTGCATGGAAAACTCTAGGCAGACGCTCAGGGGGATGATGGGTATTACCAAGTGCAAAATTTATTGTCAGTAAGTGAAGCGTGTATCTTTCCGAATGTTGTGTACTGAATGTTCGATGGTTTGGCCAAGTCTTGTAAAGTGATGGTTTGGTTAAACTCTTATGCCATGAGTAAACTGCTTTGGGTTAAGGTTAGGTTGCATTCACAATTTCACATGTAACTGGAAGTCATTACCTTTCAAACCAAGTCTTTGCTTTTGGCTCTTTGTTATAAGATATCCATTTAGATACGCAATAAAGATGAACAGTTCAATAAAGCGGTACTAGTAAACCTAACCCTAGCCCCATACTTGTCATTGGTGGCTCTGTGGATGTTAATAGACATGCTGTTGCATCTATGTCACTTCCTTTAAACACTCTGAGAAAAGGCTTAAAAGGGTGATCAACTTTTGGTTGAGCATTTCATTTGAAGTTAAAATAAATAACTGGCAGTATTAATGGAAATGCATCAGACTTTGAGCACATTACAAACGTGGATAAAATGACTGTTATCCAGCTATTACTCTGACAACAGGGGAGATGCACTTGGAGCCTTTAGCTGTGTGTGCCTATAAACAAATCAGTCACCTAAGCTTTGTTCATGAACTATCAAGTGATCTGCACCTTCGGTCAAAAGTACTCCCCCTAACTAACAGAAGAGCTCTGTTTTTGTTTTTTAATTAATATCTTTTCAAATATTCATTGATAAAATACAATTTCTTCACATTAGCACAAAATGTTTTGTTTTAGAGTCAGATCTCTCCTGCATACAGCTCTCTCTCTCATGTCTTGTGAAGAATTCATTTCATGAAGATTTCATTTGTAAATGCATATTTAACAGCTAAATGTAGATGTAATCTCAGATTTAAATTCATATTTCTCAAAATATGAACAGTGGAAGTTCAGTAGCTGTTCGGGTGATTCTTTTCAAATGAAAGCTCCTTCGAACAGATGCTTTGTCCTGGTCACAGTGACAAAGGTGTGCAAATGAAAACCTTTGACGAAAGAGTCCACAGCTCAGTCTCTGGTTGGATAGAGAGCAGCACCTGGTCAACGTGACGCAGATCCAAAGCATCTGTTTTCATTGTCACTTTGCTAATGTCTCAATGACTGATATCAATAGCTCTATTTTCCATTCTCTTTACTGTACTTTGCCATTATTTGAAGCGTAATGTATATTTTTATATGTCGAAGGAAAAATAAGTGGAAAATAAACATGAATGTGTTTGTCTGGAATTCTTTTATATGTTGTCTCTGCACCCAGTGCACAAAAAAGTCCTTTGCTTCAGCATTTCAAATAAACAGCATAATGTGTTTACTGCAAAACTTCAAAAAATAGAGTAGTTTACATCCAGGGATCGAAGATGCATCCATCACTTTCCTCTTATCCTCGTCAGGGTCGGGGGGTGGGGAGCATGTCCCAGGCAGGGTACACCCTGGACGGGTCGCCAGTCTGTCCCAGGGGTGGATCGAAATTCTCCTTTTCCAGAAATCCAGAAAGGACATTTTATAATGTTTTATTTACTTTCAGTGGGACTTTTTTTTTACTCTCCAAAAATAAATATGAATTATGAACTTGTACTGTGAAACTGGCCATGCAGATAAATAACTGCAGGAGCCATTTAAAAAGTCCAAACACCAAGAAAGTTGTTAGACAGAGGGGATTTTTTTCAAACTTCTATTTCCTAATTTATTGAGGAATCTTAGCAAACTTATTAACTAAAACTAAAAAGTAGATGTGTGATATGTTGTAACATGCAGCAGGTTTGCAAAATGAGGTGAAATCTTGCGGACACTCACCTGATCTACTAAAGCACAATCTTGAGAAGTCATTGATCCTCGTTCTTCAAAACACTGTGTGCAAATCAACCTCTAATATTCTCTTCTGATGATAATGAGTCCCTCTCAACATCAAAAGTACATCTTCATTTGTACAGCTGTCGTCAGCAGCCTAAAGTAATAATTATAAGAAATGCTTTCATATATAGCTGTTATTAACAGCTGCTCCACCACATACTGCAGTTCTGGTGTTGTAGGTCAGGTACAACACTGACACCATGAGGTCAAGTGGGGTCATGTACAAACCTGGTTGTTTTATTTTTGTTTGATAAGAACATTTTCTTAATCTTTGTCATTTCACCATCTGACAGAAGTTTATTTCTTATAAAGGATGTTTTACACCTATAGATGAGCACAGCCAGGTGTCAAGAATCAGGAGTTTGGTTGTTTCTGCTCTTGATTCACTTAAAGCTTGTGTGGTGAACATACAAACCTGACAAGCACACATTGTTTGGGCCTTTTAAGAATGTTGTTAGTATGTTTGGATAAATGTCAAAGACTTCAAAGACCGGGCTCTAGGCGTGTGACAAAAGCTGCAGTCAAGACTAACTGCTTACAGTGAGCTTCTGTGTGTACACTCACATCTATTAAAGCACATCCTGGTTGAATCAACTATTAACGATCCTGTTTGTTCAGCTTCACTTATTCTGTATTATTTCATGGCATCTCCTTATTTTCTTTTCTCATTTCATTGTATAGTGACCCAAATATTCTGACGAAGCTTACATATAATGTCATAGAAGTCCAAATGAATATATACTGATTATATACAGGACATATTGTGTTTATATATTGAACATATTTATGGGCACCCTGCTAAAAGAATGTGGTTGTATACGACTGATAGTTTTAGATTAAGATTCAGGCTTTCATGGTCCCGGGTCTTCTCTTGTTTTCTTGCTTTTTCTCTGTCATGTCTGTGTTGTTGCACACGTGTTTGTTTACAAACGTTCCCACATCCTTATTAGTTACCCACCCGTCAAAAATCAGCTGATTAACTCACCTGCTCCTCATTGGGTCGTTGTGCCAGCTATTTCTATTGGTATTCTATTGAACACGACACAAAGCCATCTTTGACAGGCACGTTAGAAGCATCTCGACCTACTGTGGTTTTGTACAATCCATCAAATCCACCAAGTTTTTATCAGAAGCGATTTTTGGTTGAAAAATGATGTCCTGGTTCAGCCAAAGAGGATAGATAACGTTTGTTGTACCAACTCTTTGTAGCTCGATCAAGTCTTAAGGACTGGCTCTGGCAGTGATTCTCCGTGGATTGTTTCCTCCAGCATGGTGGTAAATTGGCTCCTCTTGTTTGATGTTTGCCTTCATATGTTCTGCTTGGTTTTCATCTGGTCTCTGGTTGACTATGGAACTTACCTGCCTTGTCCCATGGCAGTTCTGTTCACTGCTAGACCCAGTCCTTGTTGTTCTTGCAGCTATCCACCTCACTCCAGTAAATACTACGCTTTGGATAAGCAGTAGAGAGTGAGCACTGACAGTCCTCTCCCTCTCAAGTACCCTCCCTGGACCTCAACTTCAGACTCTTCATTTATAGTAACGGAAGCTGATGAAGGCCTCAAGTATAGCAATGATTTAGAAACACCTTAGCTTTCTCTTATAATGAAGAATGCATTTCTTAAAAATATGACTGTTAGCATGTTGTATTTCCATAAAAGCAGAGGTTAAAGTGGACCGGCACAATCTGGAACAGCCTTCCAACACATTCAGGTAATGAGCAATTAAATCTGATAGGCAGGTGAATGCATACTACTATTGAATTATTTTTTCATGTGCTGCAGCTTAGCAGCCCTTCCAGTGATAGCACTGAGATACATCCTCTGTAAATAAGAAAGTAATGACATCCCACAGCTAGCTTACACTTCCAGTACACCCTTTGTTCTTCCCCCTGAGGTGCAGATATAAATAAATTTGAAGTCGGAGTATTTCAGCATTTAGCTAGTACTACAAAATAAGAGCAAACATAAGCAGAGTAACGTTTTTTAGAGCGTCAGGTAATTTCAAATGTAACTTTTCAAACATCTCAACAAATGCAGCCAGTTTGGCACAAAAAGTATCTGTTAGTCAATGTTTAATGCTGCTCGAAAAAAAAGTGCAACAGTGAGAGATGAAGAAAGACAGGACAGGACATTTACTGCAAGCTAAAGTGGTTAGTTTGCATTACTGTGGTGAAATGCACAGCGATGTACTGTGATGGGACTGGAGCAGGAGCAGGCTGTGGCGTTCATGGTCAATATTAAGTTACATCACGGATAACAGAAATCAATTCATACTTAAGGTAAAGACCAAGATGATCCAAATGTTACCTCTGGTAGTACCTTTATGCTCTCGGAAATCAGTCATAAACTTATGTAACATGTGGTTACATCTTGTTCAATTCACTTGCTTGAATCCACAAAGAGCAGTGAGACGGGAGTAACAGCAAACTGATCACAGCGTGAACACAAAACTCTGCTTAATCTCACAAAGAAGTTGTTATGACTTAATAAATGTGACGGATTTTGCCCCCATGCTGCACTGCATACCCAATGTTCAGATTAAACAGGTAAAATGTTAAAAACAAGCGACCTATTCTCCAACGATATCTCCAAGAAGTTTCACCCTCAAAACAGTGATTAACCTGCAACACTGAAGACACCATGAAATAATAAATATGGAGTTTTCTGTGAGCTGAATATGATTTGACCTAAAGCCACAGTTGAGTATCTGTCAGCACATCGAGGGCTGATCACCTTTAGCGGGCCCGCCTTGAGACTTACTGGGTTGTAATTTTCCAAAGGCTCATATGTCTACAACATGTGGATATTGTACTGTGTACCTGTCTCACGGTCTCCTGGGGCCTGTACTGATAATTATAATTTTTTCAGAGGAGAACTGCAAAAATGATTTGGTAAGCATACTGTTAAAGGTTTAGTGTCATCACTAATGATCCGTTAAACTGTGGGTTTTTTAGAGGTAACCAGAAGGTGTTAATTTTAGCTAATAGAAAAATTAAAGATAGATTCCTTGTCAAAAAAGAAAATTACAGACAAAAATGACATGAATAAAAAAGTTTTTCAATGCCAGTAACTTCTTTCAGCATTGTTGTCATGACAATTTCAGTGTCAAAGAAATGAAACAAAAGAAATATACAACATAGATGATGATTCACATAGAATGCTCAAAGGGCGTTGTCTCCTTATTTTGCCAGGCACTTTCACAACCTCAGTCTCAGTTCTAATTTCCTATTCGTCAGAAGAATGTTAAATGCTTAATGACAGTGGACTCATCTCTGTGCTTGTCCTGCTAGACCTCAGTGCAGCGTTCGATACTGTCGACCATAATATCCTATTAGAGCGATTAGAACATGCTGTAGGTATTACAGGTACTGCGCTGCAGTGGTTTGTATCATATCTATCTAATAGACTCCAGTTTGTGCATGTAAATGGAGAGTCCTCTTCACACACTGAGGTTAATTATGGAGTTCCACAGGGTTCAGTGCTAGGACCAATTCTGTTTACATTATACATGCTTCCCTTAGGCAGCATCATTAGAAGACATAGCATACATTTTCACTGCTATGCAGATGACACCCAGCTCTATCTGTCCATGAAGCCAGATAACACACACCAATTAGTTAAACTGCAGGAATGTCTTAAAGACATAAAGACCTGGATGGCCGCTAACTTTCTGCTTCTTAATTCAGATCAAACTGAGGTTATTGTACTCGGCCCTGAAAATCTTAGAAATATGGTATCTAACCAGATTCTTACTCTGGATGGCATTACCTTGGCCTCCAGTAACGCTGTGAGGAACCTTGGAGTCATTTTTGACCAGGACATGTCCTTCAACGCACATATTAAACAAATATGTAAGACTGCTTTCTTCCATTTGTGCAACATCTCTAAAGTTAGAAATATCCTGTCTCAGAGTGACGCTGAAAAACTAGTTCATGCATTTATTACTTCCAGGCTGGACGACTGTAATTCATTATTATCAGGATGTCCAAAAACTCCCTGAAAAGCCTTCAGCTGATCCAAAATGCTGCAGCAAGAGTCCTGACAGGGACTAGAAAGAGAGCGTGTACATCATCCATACAAGGTCTTGTCTAAGAGGAATAGCGCTGTATTAGCCCCACAGAACAGTTTACTTGTGGTTCGTAAGACATTTGAAAGTAGAGGCAGAGCCTTCAGCTTTCATTTGAGGAGAAAAGCTAAAAGTTTTTATAGTTTTTAAACTGTTTTCCTCTAAGAAATAGTATGCCTGATTCTGTGATGAGATTTGTGGTAAATGTCAAAACGGTACAGTATTTTAGTGAAGACTAACGACAGTGAAGACTAACCATATTTACCCAACGAGTACAGTATAACGTCTGAAGAAAAAAAGTTTTATTTGTTATCAAACTGATGGAAAAAGGTTATGAAAAGTAACAATTGTGACAAAAATGTGATTTCTAAGAAAAAGACTGCACCTGGTGACTTAATGACAATGACAGGTAATGGAAACATAAAAGGACAATTAAGCAATGATTTATGGTCCCACAGAATTTGTCTTTCCAAACTTTGAAGGCCCATTCTTTTGTTGTCTCTTTGTCATAAATCTGATGTTGTTCTCTCCAAAAAACTTAAAATGAAACTAAACAAATCAGTACTGTCACCCAGAACAAGAAAGTCATGGTACAGAAGAAAGGGCACGTTGTATTTGTCGGACAGTAATTAAATATTCATGCAACTTTAGAAACATCTCTTTTTAGATTTCTAGGCTAACAATACATTTTATTCTTTATGAATAGCAATATGATTCTTCACATTCTCGTTAGAGTCTTTCTCCATGTAAATTAAGAACAGTTAATAAATTTCTCATGAAATCTGTTGATAAACCATGTGTTTAGTCTGTACAATAGAGGTACTAAAAATTACAACTGTCATGGTATATGTACAATTTACTACCTACAAAGTACAACAGATAGCATGTAATAAAATATGTAAACAAATTTCTTCTTTTTTGACACAGTTGACTGCGATAGCAGATAGAATTCACACTTTCAACATTAGATTTATTTCTGTATACACATTTGTTAACAGTGTTGTAGTACTGCATTTGTCTTCTTCCTGACACCTCCATAAAAAAGAGAATGATACGCAATGAACCAACACACAATTTTGCAAAGAGAGAAGACCACCACTAGCTATGCGTCGATATTAGACCTTTTTCTTTTGCAGATTTTTCAGCAGTTTTCAGGGGCTCAGGGCAAGTCCCAATCTAATGATGACGTTTTGGCTTGTGCATTAAAGAGAACGTGGTCCAAGTCGAACACTGCATACTGGACTTGTGCTATACCATATGAATCAGGATGGCATGCATTTTACAATCACGTGTTTCTTACCGAGAGAACTGGCAAGCTCTCTCCACAAAGCTTCACTGTGTCAGCCAGACAATGAGAATAATTGTGTTATGAGGTATGCCCTCTCCATTAGTTTATACACAGAAATCATTTTCTTTTCTTGCTGTTCTTTTGTTGGGTTCTCATTAGCCTGGAGCAAAAATAGTTAAGACACAGCACTTATTTATAAACCATAAAAATTGGTAATATTTTGATACAAGAGTCCTTTATTTTTACAACCATTGTGTGCCTGACCCCCTCTTGTTAAGCACTATGTTGTTTACATGCTGAAAAGGTGTAATTTTATGAGCCTTTTGTAATTAACAATTTCACAAAAAATTGTTTAATGCCAAGGATCACGTAGCTCTAAAAGTCACTTAGGAGAATGATGCTGTGAAGTATTTCTCTACCGATAATGTCTCTGACCAGATAGAAGAGTAAGGTCTCTAAAGTTGCTATTTAACCTTGTCATTAAGCTTTTGCTTAATAGTAAGTGTGCTTTATGTTACAGTACATATCATCAGTTCAACTACTCAGCACAGTATAAGAATTTTCAAGTTCCATATTATACCATCATTTGTCATAGCTTCTCACGAGGAAACTGATAAGTAAAAGTTCTCTTAGTGCTCTCTTTCTTCGCTCTCTCGTGTACACGAAAGTCTCACAGTCACACATAATACTCCTTATCCTTGTTTTTCTGTCTCTTGTTGCTGCCTTTCAAGCTTTGCTGTTTGTCCTTCATGACAGCGCCATTGCTCTGCACAGCCGAGTTGGTTATGTAGTTCCTGCTCTCGTCCACCTGGTAGGAGCCTTCATCCCTGTTCCTGTACTTATACATGGCATATAGAAGGATGAGGATGCACAGGGCAGCGGCCGCCACTATTCCGATGACCATCCCGGTGGTGCTGCTAGATTCGCGGACCACTTCCGAGGGCCCTGGAACTCGCCTGACGCCTGGCTCTGTGGGAAGTGCTGTGGGTATATTACGGAACATTGGGGAGGTTATTAATGGGCCCCTCAGCTTGGTGCTGTCTACCTCAAAGGATGTGGGCAATGGAAGCAACGCTAGGTCGGGCCGGGGTTTTAGCTCGCGGTTATTCGTTTTGCCAGCTGGCTGTTTGGAGGGTTGCGGTGGAGGCAGAGGTGGTGGTGGTGCGGCTCTGGTCGGCGGTTCGTGCTATGGCGATAGTGGTAGTCCTACTGCGTCTGGAGATGGAAGGTTTGTTACGTATAAAAGTCTTGGTTGCATTTGCTTTGTAGTCACCTTGAAAGCCTGACGTGGACAAGGTCTTATCTGTTACCAAGAAGAAGGTTGAGTAAAAATCTTCATCATCAGTAGGGTGGCAGCTTAGACTTGAACGCTTTCCCAGAGCCATACCCCGATATCACCAAGCCATCATCATCACAATCATCGCTGCCTCGGTCCGACAAGCAAGGTAGCCCCGCCTCAGTGGCCTTGGACAGGGACTCTTTGGTGGTCTCAAAATGGTGAGGAGTGGGTGGTGGGTTGAGGGAGTGGGAATGAAGGGTGTACAAGGAGCTACAGAGGGGTGCACTAATGGATCCTCAAGTATTTTGACGACTAACTCATCTCCTGGGGTTAGAGACACACATGTAGACACGTTAGAGGGCAACGTTTTATTAAGACAGTGCAATGCATTTGACACACCTGGACTCACAACACCTCATCTCAAATCAATGATCATGACTTGGCATATCGGTTTCTAATAAATCAGTCAAAAGTGATGCACATTTATCTTTGAATCCTGCTCTAAGTTCCAAAGGAAGTAAAAATGCATGACTTATCTATCTTTGTTTAACAAACTGAAGAACAAGTTATTTCTGCAACAAGAGCAGGTAGGTGCTGTTTGACGTATATATACATGGAAGATACTGTTAATAATGTGTCCTCAAAGGTGATTTATGTCAATGGAGAGAAATGATCCACTTACTAATAGGAATGGGTACCGGTATCCGGTGCCATGATGGCACCGGTTCTGACATAAACGGTAGTAACCAGACCAAAAACCAGTGCACATTTCGGTGCTTTATTTCGGTGCTTTTTTTCCCTGAGACGTCATACACTTTAGATTCTAGCCAATCATTTTACGTTTGCAAGCGTAGTAGGCGGGTCCAGGTACGTACGTTCTTTTAGAGCAGAGCTACAGATTAAAAATGCCCAAGGCGAAGCGGTCAAAAGTCTGGCTGTACTTCACAGCAAAAGATGCAAACAGCAGCAACAAGTGCTTTAAGCTGATACTGTGATACTGTCAAAGGAGGTAACACCTCGAATCCGATGAAACACCTGGCAATGTATAGCGTTTTGTTAAAAGCCGAGAAATGCGCCGTATTTGATAGCTTGAGTGCGGGTGTGGTGCCTGTTATCTGACCCGGAGTTAGCAACATCCCCCAAGACCCTGAAGAGGAGAGTCCTGGCCCCTAGCCCTGCCAGTGTAGCAGAAATGATGAGGATGATGATGCAGCAGCAGCCGTTCTTCTCTGCGTGAGTAGCTTAATGTTCGTGTGTAATTTACGTTGAGTAGGCTAACCACGTTATTACATTAATGCATGTAAGGTGAACTAGCAAACACCGTCATAGTTACATGCGGCTGTCTTCGTGTTTGATGGCAGATGCTCCCTTCACCCTGGCCAAAAAGGCTAAAATGACCAAAGAAAAAGTGGGAAACAGCTGAACATGAGAGGTTTTTGGACAACGTTTGTCTTTTTTCCATTGTTTAAGCACCGTTTAAGCACCGGCACTGTTTCAAAAGTACCGGTTTGGCACCGGTATCGGATAAAACCTAAACGATACCCATCCCTACTTACTGACCACATTTAACAAACTCTCCAGTCCTCAGATGTAATCCATTACATTTTGTCATGCTAAATTGTGCTAAATGCAAATTACTTAAATCATATTTAGTTGAGTCGTTTTATAAGATACAGTTTTTTCTTAAAGAAAGTAAGGTAAACTGATATATCAAGCCAAAATCATTTTATCGCACATGCAGTAAAAATAATTTTGATAAAACAGATGATGCCACTATATTTCCTCGTGAAAACATTGGGAAAGGCTGAAAAATCTAAATAAAAACACAGTACAATGATTTGCAAATTATTTATAGTATATTAAAATATCCACTTTGAATTTCATGCACTTCAAGATTGGAAAAGTTGTTGAACAACAACAAAAAACGAAACAAAAACACCTAATCAGGTTATCAAGTAACATATGACTGTGTATGTAAATGACTGTCTTGGGCCCACACTCGTTTGAAATAAATGCAAACTGTGCTCTGGCCTGACTGCTTAACAGTTCTTTTTGGAGAGAGAGGCCATCTAGCTTGTTATCAAGCACAGCTAAAAGCCAGCATTTGTGATTGTGCAGGCATTGGCATTGGTTACTCGCACTGTAAACATGTTTACAAGGTATGGCATCAACCAGGCAATATTTATTACAGGAAGTCTTGCTTATTTCAACAAGTCAGTGACCACACACCTTGCACGTTTTGACATGGTGTACCAATTTTCAAGAAAGAGTTGATGAAGCTCGGCTACAAAGTGGGGTGAGGATCAGTGAGCATACCTGAGGTATTTAAACTAACCTGAGGTGTTAGTATTAGAAAGAAGAAGGAAAATGCCAGTTTAAACTGTTTGTTTGTTTGTTTTTCATTGTTGTTGTTGCAAATCATTGCATTCTGTTTGTAGTTACATTTCATACAGCATCCCAACATTTGCAGAGTTGAATTTGTACAAAAATAGGACTGATAATATTTTACACTTTGTATAAAAGGGTTTGATGTACTTATCATAGTCTGTAATCTCAAGCTGGCAACAGTCGGAGTAAACATCGAAAATGCGACTGTTACACTGACATAAAAAGTCTCCATGCAGTAGAGCACCTGTATACAGTTGTTGATGCACATACCAAATTAGATGTCAACTAAAAGCAGCAAGTATGCAACTCACAAATAATCACAAACACAACATCCACAAGCACAAAATTTAAGATGATCATTTCTATAAAACATATCCAGGGTTAAGAGATGCAGTTTGCAAGATTTTAAAACCAAAACCTGTCCTTAAGATCATTAGCTTCTAAAAAGTGTTACTACTGTATATATATTACATACACATATTCACCACTAATCAGTTATTTCTTTGGATGAGTAGTAGTGCAATACCTGCATTTTAAAAGTCATTTTAAATTTATTAACGCTTATTCTGCATGAAAGTATTCTACAACCGCGAGGATATTAACCAAAAAGGGAAATTTACACTAATGTGAACCTAATGCTTTGACTTTATCCAGACGTGAGAAGTAATAAAGTATACCATTTTGTTACTGTACTTGAGTATTTATTCCTCTGAAACATTTCTGAACACTTTCCACATTTTCAAAACAGGCTTGTTACTTTTTGTTTAAGATATCTGAAGGGTTTTACTTCATCAAACAAACTGCTGTGAGCCTAAACCGTTAATGAAAGGCAGTCTTTCATGTCACGTCATGGTGTGTCTGTTAGACTATGTGTGTGTGTGTGTGTGTGTGTGTGTGTGTGTTGCATGTTAACAAGTATAAGTGGCTTTTACGGGGCATCAAAATAACAATCCAATATGGCTTTCTGGAACAGACACCATTCACACCTGTATGATACATATAAAAGGCTGTTGTCATAGTTTAATTTACTTATATCCCTAAAGGATATATATCAAAAGGTCTCTGAGAGCAAGTGCCGGCATAACAGCTGATCGATACTGTAATGCAGAATAAGAAACGAATAAACTCTTTAAAATGACTAAGATAGGATAACCTTTATTAATGCCACACGTGGGAAATTTGAAAGAGCCAGTAAGCTACTAATACGGATGGAAGAAAGCAGCTAATTCCGAGTATATTAATGTAAAATATCACCTTGCCAGTAGTCTGACACACCTAAAATGAAACATTGGGAAAAGCCTCACATTTTACAAACTGCATCTTTGAAAATCAGTGCAAGGAGAAAACGTACAGACTGGATATCGTCAACTTACATCAACAAATTGCCCACGTGAGTTAGGCATGAGGAAAAGAATTTACAAAGGAAAAGTTGGGTAAGACTGTTGGATAGCCACTGTTAAAGGTCATTTTTATCCATTGTAGATTGTGTTCTATCTTAAAACGTGACGGTACAGGGAGGCAACAACACATACAACCACACCACATAACATAAAAAATAAACACCATAATACTGTTTTTTATCTTTTGTTTTTTCCTGGTAAATAAGTTGTTTTGTACAAAAAAATCTGTGTATCTTTTTTTCATTGCAAGAGACTTCAGTGACACCTAAAATCTATTCATGTTATAGTTTTTGCTTAATTTGACATATGTTCTTTAGAATGGATGGATGACTTTATATTGTAAAATCTCTAAAGACAAGGGAAAGGGTGAAGAGGGATTGGGACCTATGAACATATTACATAGGAAATGAGGATGATGAGGGTGACAGTGTAAGTCAGTTGCCATGTCCATGTAAAGGCAGTACGAAGCGGTCGGGCGGCATTAGAGCTTTGGGCTGTAAGGAAGGGATGGGGATATACAAACAATGAGCAATATACATGCCCATCTACAGAAAAGAACAGAAAAACTCTAACACTGACATGTCTCACAAACCCTAAACTGCAACTTCTTAGCCATGCAATTCATTCGTTTGTTTGTTTGTTTGTTTCATTACAGTCAAAATATTCTTTCTTTCTTTTTTTTTCCTCTTTTTTGTGAAAAAAGATTGTAAAAAATCTGAAAAATGGAAGAAATGTGACAAGTGGATGTGGAACTGCTTCACCTACTAATTTGTGAGTTTCTGAACAGGTTCAAACAAGTCGGACTTTTTTGCCATCTTTTGAATGTTGCTTTCATTGTGACTTAGGAGAGCTTAGTGCTGAAAGTAAAACACACAAGCTAGTCGCTGTGAAGGAGTTCCAAAGCCCAAAAAGTT